GTTAAATCATACCATTACATGACCGCCTTCGTATTCATATGGATATCTGCAGTCAATGAGTCGGAAACTGGAAATGACGTCATTATAACGCCCGCTCAGCAATGCAACCACCTTTAAAACATAATTAAGACATACAATTATTTTAATTAACACTATTTATATTAATTTTTGGACAGAAATTATCTGTGGTTATGTTTTGTTGGTTTCAGTATAAGTATATACCGTATCTCCCGTAATGGTTTTCAGATCACTGTGCTTGCCCCTGATGGTGGGAAGAGAACATTCCTGACTTCCGTCTCCTATAAGGTTTTCCTCGTCCGTCAGCCGCGCAACTGCAGTCTTCACTTCCGTTTCCTCAGCTCTGACGAGAGGAGAGTCCTACCAAAAGATTTCATTTTTCATTTAAAACACATGCTATATCAATATCATCTGAATTTTGCGATTCAGTTTCAGACTATTATGCTCTCGTATTAGAAATATATATTTTTTTCTGTCTGTCTGCTTTTTTGCAAAATCGCAAATCTTCGCAATAACCGTTCAACGGTTGGCTCTAGGGGTTTCAGTTTTCACATGTACATATACATACGTATATCTAATGTCAAGTTCTTTCTGTTTACACCAACATTTTTACCACATGACCTTGAGTTTCACGTACTTTGAAATAATTTCATTTCGGTTATAACTTCTGAATGGTTAGTGCTAGGACTTTCATCTCATTTATCATTTGTGTATTCCTTGAGCCAAAACATTCCTTGGAACCATTATTTTTTATCTCATTGCTTTGACCTTTAAGTTTGATTATCACCTGCTTTTTAAAAATATAGACCTTAAAATTGCTTTCGGAATGTTTGATGTCCGCATCACAAGCCACGGGATTACTGTCCATTCTATTTCTTTGAATAAAATGGACACAAATTCGATGATTTTCAAGAAGAGTAGACCATAGGACTTTCATATTTCATAGATGTATTTCTTGTGAGAAAACCTTTCTTTTGGGTAGCAATACCTCATGACCTTGACATGTAATTTTTTCTACTTTTAAAAACATTGACCATGACCTCAGAACGGTTGGTGTAAGGGTTTCTCATACTTTGATCACTTGTGTTTCCTTAATATGGCAAGAACTCTCTTTGGAGATCAATGTTTTTTCCTCATGACCTTGACGTTTGATTTTCACATACTTTTGTAAAACTTTAACCAATGTCCAAGAGCTGTCGTATGGAGAAATCAGTATTCCAAAACACTTTTTTAAATATAATGTGTATATGAGTGGTAGTTACATTTTTCTTCTTGTTGGTTTTTTTTATTGAGAGAACGATTTTTTTAGGGAGCATATGTCAATTTTTCTTTTTACACGTCCCTCTCTTCGTTTAGACTTCAAAGAACCTTGCATTAAGATGCATAAAATGAAAATTGTTGTAAGAAAATTTCAAACTTCTTGTTGAGAATTTTTAAATAAAAAAATAATTATAAAAGTTATCCCTCCTGACCAAGGACTGGAGATCCTTAATGCCTTAATAATTTATAAAGAATATACTATAATACCTACCTCAAAAGACAAAGACTTCTTTAATATTGTTCCTCTGTGTGTAATTTGTTTCTCTCTTCTTGTTTTACAATAAGAGCCATCTTCTCTCTTATAGGAACCTTGTCCAAAGAGAGTACGTCTGGGGATAAGTCTACTTCCGGAATTTTGGTCCTGTTATAAAAGGAAGAAAATGGCTTGATTTAAAATTCATTTGAGTATTTCATAAATAATTAAAAATATTAAAATGAATTAAAGAGCTATTTTTCATTTCTGATAAAGTTGGCTCTTAATTTCTATGAGGTATTTTGATAATTTAACGAAAATGGGCTTACGTATGCGTCACGCTGTAATGAAAACTTCGGCGTGTTTTTCAAACCATTGAAGGAAGATTCAAGTTCAATCTGCAAATTAAAAGTAAAATTTCATTTTTCGATCACAATTTTATTTCATTTATTAACGTTTTAGCTTTATAAAAATGAATTATTATCATTTTTATATAAATTTTAACATGAATGACCGTTTGTTCGATTGAATTAAATAACAAATTAAGAAGAATAAAGAGAGAATTTTCGCTTTTAAATCTACCAACAAATTGATATGTTCCTGTTTCAGAAAGTCCAAATTTAACATGCGACTTTTTTTAATTTTAAATTCTAATTTAAGTTAAATAAATAAATGATTGTTTAATTTAAGGATTTTTACTTGGTCTGAATCATCTGTGTCCATTCCTAGACCAGAGTCCTCGTCCATCATTGGGGATAAGAGTGATTTATGACCTGGGGCCCTAGAGGGGGTCAGAATGTCGGCGATATCAACGTCCATCTCGTCGTCACTGTCATCGAAGTGGAGCTGGCCAAAGGGAGGCAACTGTAAAATTAAAATTGATAATTCAGAAAAAAAAAATCATAATCTGAATTAACGCTGTGATTTTTTTTAAAAATTATAAAAAAAAAAAAATACTCACGTTTGTTAATTTCTGTGAAAATTCCATGCTCCTCGTAATCAGTGCACCTCTACTAAATAAAGCAATTGATAATTATTTCAGTTGTTAGAAACTTTTTTTTTTTTTACAAATATTTACAGTACATTATTCTCATGTATGTAGGAATACAAGCATTAGATGAATAGTGAATTGATAATAATTCTATATTTCCAGATTTGACTTATATATAACCCTACACATACTCAAAGGCGTGTCAGGTACTCATCGCCTTGGCCATGCTGAGTCCTGCTAATCAAGGATAATTTTCGCACGTTAATTCATTAGCTACCTGTCTGGTAGTATTACACATGAGAATGGTGCGTTTCCACAGGTAATAATTACCTTTCTCTAACAGAATGCTCTAGCCATTATTGTCTGTGATAACTAGACGGGAAATTTTTATCCTAGTATCTCGTAATTAGTCCTGTTTTGACACTAGCAGAGTGGGAAAATTGGTGTTTTATCGGATGAAAACAGATCTTTACCTATTTACGGAAAATTAATAATAATTGATATAACATGAAATTTAAAAAAGCACAAAAACTGGCTTTACTCGTTGTCAACAGGGATTTCTGTGCAAATTCTTATCAAACTAAATCATTCAGATTCTTATCAGACAACTTACGTATATTTATCAAGCATTTTAATCTAAAATTGAATTTCTCATGAAAGATTAATTTTCCTCGGGATAAAAATTTACTTACTTTTCAACCAAACGAAAAGATCACAATTAATGAAATTCCTTTCACAATTAACAATTTAGTTCCCGTAATTTTCAAACTGTCACCATCAATGACAGAGTACATGTACCTATAAAATTCTTTTGCGTCAAGTACTTGTAAATAAAAACGAATCCCTGTATAATGTTCAAGTTGTTTTTTGATATCTTGAGCAATATCCGTTAGCTTATGGCAACATAATAATTGTATTGTTAAATCAGCTATAGCTCTGTCGATTTCTTAATTAAACGTGTAAAGATTTCTAGGAAATCGGATTAACGTTACGTGATCATGAACAGACGTGTTTTCGTTGTGTCGTGTAGTCAATGTCTAGTTTATTAAAACAGTATTTATTATGTATACATATATAATAATACGCATAGATACAGATCGACATTAATGAATTATTGCGTCACTGGCGACCATTATTATATGTTAGACTTTTCAGTAAATATATACAATGTCACAAGACACATTAAATCAATAAGAAAAAAAGGTTGAACATTGAACAATTGTTTCTGGAGGGGGAGGGGTAGGCATTCGAATAAACAATTTAATGCACCTTGAATGCCAGACTTCTTATAAAGAGTTATGTTTCCTTCACTTGGGGTGGGGGTGGGGGTGGGGGTGTTGATGTTTAATACTTTGCAGTATACCAATATTGACGGGAGTTCTCACTCATTGTTATAAAATCGTAAACTCCTACAACAGCGTTCTATTTCCTATAACACTTGTAAAATATATATACATTAAAGACGCTGGTAATTTATATGTATTCTCAATAAAGAACCCTGGACCTGCACGTAACCCTTCATCGTCGCAAATTAATCCATGACTAGTTGCAGATCTGTAGCGTTATGGTTTTATATATTTGTCTTGGACCATAATGCCAAAAAGTGCAATTTTCGGCGCAATATTTTTTGCGCACTTTTGGGGAGAATTTCTCCACTTTCTAGCATCGGTCATTTAACTACCTTTCACTCCCTAATTCTAGGCACATTATTTAACTAATCTGTATATTTTACTCGTGTTTTATCCATCTCCCAACCTTTATAGTCGTCTCTACAAGTGATAAACTTACTTGATTAAAATTTTTTGATACATTTGCTGAAAATTCACTCCAAGCGAGTTTATTGCCTGTAGAGACAACTTTAAATGGTTAGGAGGTGGATAAAATTTACATATTGGCTACAGAATGTGCCTAGAATTAAGGAGTGAAAGGTAGTTGATTGAACAATGCTAGAAAGTGGGGGAATGTTCCCCAAAAGTGCGCAAAAAATATTGCGCCGTAAATTGCATGTTTTTTGCATTACGGGATCTGTAGCGTTATACGACTATAAAACCGTAATGCTACGGGTCTGCAGCTAATTCATGACTCGTAATGCCTGGGCAAAGAGATTATTTTTACCTTTTTTATTTGCAAAGTTTATTTTCGCTAACATGGTATACGGGTAACCTCTCTGATCACAATGTCTAGGGGGAGGTAAATGCAAAATTTACAACAGTTATCGTTTACATTTTGTTGTAATAAAATTTACAATGATAATAGTCTCATGTTGATAAAATGTAAAGTCTCGATGATTGATGTCATTATCACAACCATGGACTATTTTTTTAATGTAATTATTAAAGGAGCTAACTTTCTGGAGATTTTTTTCTTTCAATCTGATCAAGGGAAATAAATCATCTTATGAAGTAACCGTTATACTTTTACGGATTCTTTATTTCCGCCTGTCTCTGGTTTGTATATTACACGTTTCGAGGCCAAAAGATGGCGGATGATTTAGAAAGTAAGAATTTGATTTTTAGATTTTTAAAGTTGATTTACGTCAGAAAGAGCATATTATGATTTAAAAATACAAAAGATCAGGTTTTATATAAAAGGATTTAAGTGAAATTTGATGTTTTTAATATATTTTGATATATCATGTATATTGTGTTTAATTTCAATGATTAAAGTTTGATGATGTATCGGGGACGCCTATCTCATCTCTTTGAAAATAGTGATATAAACTGAAAATATATTTGTTAGATCACCATTAACAATGCAGCATTTAAAAAAATTCATTGAATTTCTTTATTTTTTTTTACTCTTATTTACATTTTAACATGTTTAATATTATATACAGCTCATGAAATCCAACTGAATATTTTAATATCCAATATTAATGGCATTATGCACTTGTCTTATCTAAATGTGCTAGCAGGTAACATTTGGTCTAGAAGTTACTGCGTAAAGGAATTCATTTCGAGCAATGTGCAGAGTTAGTTTGAATTTTCTCTTTGCCCAGGCATTGTCAATAGTATTAAAACTAGTTATGGTTTTATATATTGTCTTTGACCATAACCCTCACCACAAAAAAAGTTACAATACGTCCCATTATTTTTGCAATGTAGCAAATCAGAGCATCTCTACAAGTGATAAACTCGCTTGATTAAAATTATTTTTAGAATGAAAATTCACTTCAAGCAAGTTTATTGCACTGTAGAGAATGACTATAAATGGTTGGAAGGTCAAAAAATATACCTTTTTACAGAATGTGCTTATGCCTTAGAGTCCAAGGTAGTTGATTGACGAATGCTAGAAACTAGAAAGTGGAGAAATTTTCCCCAAATGTGCGCAAAAAATGGGTAGACTTTACTTTACCGGTCCCCAGATCCGCAAGATCCTCGCGCTCATTGGACTATGACGTAACTACGTCTAGATTGTTCGTAGTAAATGTACACTGAGTTAAAGTGATTACGAGTTATCGCCCATGTTTCTTTTGCTACATTACGACTATTAGGGTTACGAATTCTCCATCCGAGAAATTAGGGTTAGTCCTCGCACATTATTCGACTGATTAGGGTTAGTTTAGCATCTGCCATTAGATTTCGCTGCAACGTCTTAGTCCTTGCATACCATACGATGGATTAGGGTTATATATTCTTTTAGTTAAGTTAAGAAATTCAGTTGTTTCTGTAATGCAAAAAAAGTTGCAATTTACGGCGCATTATTTTTTTGCACTTTTCGGGAGAATTTCTCCACTTTCCAGCATCAGTCAGTCATCTCTACAAGTGATAAACTCGCTTGATTAAAATTATTTGTTAGAATTTTTCTGAAAATTCAACTATTTAGCAAGTTTATTGCCTGTAGAGAAAAACTATAAAAACAAAGTTTTAAGGTGAACTAAAATATACATATTGGCAACAGAATGTGCCTAAAAACCTCGTATTAAAAGGTAGTTGATTGACCAATGCTATATATACTAGAAAGTGGCGAAATTCTCCGTTTTTCCCGGTAAAAGTGTGCAAAAAATATTGCACTGTAAATTGCACTTTTTTTTTGCATTACGGGATCTGTAGCGTTATAGTCAAAGACAAATATATAAAACTATAACGATACAGTTCTGCAGCTATGTCATTAGAGCTTGTTATGTATATAAAAAGAAGTCTGTATATTATCCCATTTACTGTATCAGTATGTATAAACATGATGAAATATATTTAGTTAATTTTGCATGTATATATCATATTATGTAATTGATATAACATATCATATTAAACAATTTGTATCATTTTCAATAAAATTTACATAATTTCTATTTTCAACTACTTCATTAGTTACTACATATGGTTTTTATGGTTGTGTAATGCATTATGATTGAATGTATTTTACTTAAAGTGTTTGATTAACATGATAAAGTATTCAATCAAAGATATTTTTAATTATTGTAGTGTTGGATTACATGTATTAAGTTTTTAGGGAAAAAACGCTAATAATATGACCATCACTATTTCCTATTTGCTAGGCTCGTCAGCTGAAGCTTTAATTAGTTTCAGCGAGGGTAAGTTTTTTAGCTGCACATAGACACTGGTGCCTCAAACATTGACACTACTTGCAGGGATTGCAAAATCATTGCATACAGTTATTTAGCTTCCAATCCATCCGCATGCCTCATATTTTACTCGGGTGCTGACATAATATAAATAAATAGCTATAAATCATAAACTTTTGGGATTATCATTATTATATATCTCCGAATTTGCAGAGTTTGCATGAAAAATTATTTGGTGCTTTGAAAGCTTCTGTTCTCAAAGTTAACAGTATTTGCATGGAAATATTGGTTAAGTCTGAGAATTGATCGATGTTATTTTGAATTTGAAGACCATGCTTTAATATTTTTGATGAAGAATTAGATGTTTTTCAAAACTTTCATTCAGTTTTATTATTATTATTACCTTCCTCATGATGTTTATGATTCTGTTCAGTTATTTTGTTACACACATTAGTTAATATTACTCAGAATCAGAAAATCTTGTTTAAAGTCAGATTTTAAAACAAGTAACATACATATGTAAGCTCTGTAGAGCTTTTGATCGACATTACTAATACTATATGAAGTACCGGTAATTATCTGTGTGATACAGATGTAATTGAATTTGTTACATATATATAACTTCCATAAGCATAATAAGATTATTTCAGTTTGCCTTGTTTATAAACAAAAAAACATGTTGATATTAACTCAATGAAATGTTGTTTTTTTTATAGGTAAGTCCCCTTCAAGACAGAGAAATGTGAGTTTAATTTCAGATTTGATTCTAATTGATATTGATACTTAAAAGTTACAGACCAACAACATGAACAGGGAAAATATTAATTTACAGTATTATCCAAACTAAGTCTAGAGATGAAAGACTTTGACGATAATCCATGTTTTACATTTTTGTAAATCCTTAATATGTGAGATGTCTATGAATAAAAAAATATATTCTCATGTGTTGATCTAAAATTTACACTGCTTTTAGATTTATGACTAATTTAATTTCATGTTAATTATTACTGTTATGAAAGAGTACACATTTTTTCCTCCATTTATAGCCTACACGCATCAGAAAGAAGAACACCAAGTTTTACAATGCAGACGAGGACACATCGTTCTCTATCAGACCACGGAGCCAGAAAAAGAGGGAACGTAAACCCGTAAGTCTCAGAGAAATCTTGTAAGAGGCAATAAAAAAATAATTTAAAAAGCATATACGTAAACTGTAAGTTTCTGTGAAAAATAGAAAGTGTAAACTGTAAGATAAAAATAACTAATGAAGTGCAAACCTGCAAGAAACAAAATGGTGTCAAAATGAGATGGCATGAAGAAAAACAGTTAATGGAAACAGGTATGCTTTCTTGCAAATGGCAATGCAAATATTTTCAAGTAAGCAGTTGAATTCTATAAAGTTTTAATTTGATTCAGGGCATTGGGTTGACTGTTCAGGATAAAAAGATGGCTCAAGGCATCGGGGTGAGACTGAGAAATCTGCTGAAGTTACCCAAGGCTCATAAGTGGGTGTGTTATGAATGGTTCTACTCGAACTTAGACATGTAAGTATAAAAGAAGTTATAATGTAAGTATTAAATACCATAACATAAATTAAAAACCCAATTGCTATAAATTTTTTACTGACTTGTTTTAGCAATTAATAAAAGTTAATAAAACACGATTTTCTTGTACATGTGAGTATGAAAGTATGGAAATTAGATCTTTGAATATGGAGCTGAAAATTCTAACTTTGAACCGTGAGAGAGTAAATGTCATTTGGATTTATACATGTATTAGACAAGTCTTTTAATTCTTTTTTGTACATTTGTTCACTCTTTTTGCAGACCACTCTTCCTGATAGAGAATGATTTTTGCATCTGTATGAAAGAGTCCTTTCCACAACTAAAGATGAAAAAACTTCGTAGAGTGGAGTGGTGCAAAATCCGCCGTCTAATGGGCAAGCCTCGCAGGTATCAAAATATTTCCTAAACTACTTGACTAAATTCAAAATTGCTCTAAACCTTTAAGTTGTGTTTTGTGCCCTATGCACCTATAAAAAGTAATAATAAAATCAGATAAATGTTGTTTGCAATATTCACAGCTCATAAACATTGAATTTCTTTGTTGATAAACGTAAAGCAAGTTTAGATTTGTTTATTCAGCTTTTGAATTTATTATACAACGTAGGTCTTCCTTGGAAAGCTCATCAAATGGGACCTTAACTAGATCAAAGAATTTACTCCCCACTGGAACTCAATCTGAAGTTCTCATTCTCTTATATTCCTGTACAGGTGTTCGCCAGCATTCTTTGAGGAGGAGCGGGCAGCTCTGGAGATAAGACGCAACAAAATCAGACTCCTTCAACAGAGGAAGATGTCTGAACTTCAGACCTTCAAAGATCTCCCAGACGAAATACCAATGCATCTTGTTATTGGTACCAAAGTCACAGGTAACTACGTATAAAGCATGCAGTCAGTAATATGGTTTTGATTGAAAAGCAAGTACACTGTATGACCACTTTCTGCTTGAATTTATGTTGAATGATTAAAAACTCAAAGTAGATCTGAAAGTAGTTTTAAATTTTCGAAGTTATTTCATATATTTTTTTTAATTTTTATACCTTGTTGCAAAATTTGCTTATCCTGTGTAAATTTTCAGGGTAAAGTTTAAATCCAAAATTTATATACTGTAGATCACTAAATTTTCGCAACACCTTATTCCTGATAAACTCTTGAAAAAAAATTTTAAGAGAGAAGTTTTAGTCAAGAAGTTATGTATTGTGAAATTTTTAAGAGACTTGGAAAGAGAGTAATTATCGTTTTTCATAATTTGACAGCACGTCTTAGAAAGCCACAGGACGGCTTGTTTACTGGTGTAGTAGATGCCTTAGACACAGTGACAAACACTTACAGAATTACATTTGATAGACCAGGAATTGGTACTCACTCCATCCCGGACTATGAAGTTCTGGTAAGAAATGCCCATAATAAATACAAATACAGATTTTAATGTATGAGGCTTTGTTAGACATTATGTTTATAGAATGAAATGATTGTTATAAAATTTTATATTTCTGTAACAGAGCGTGGAGCCCCAGGAGACCATCCCTCTGTCAGCCTTCCAACAGAAACACCGCCCGCGGCAGCCAGCCATGTTCTCACCACCAAAGTTTGTACCCAGTCTCGGATCTCCAAACCCAGAACTGGTAAATTATAAAATTCCCAACTTTACTTATTTAAGTCATTGCCTCAAATAAGCTTTTGAATAAAGATTTTTGTGAAGTGTTTGAAAGTCCACAAGGTTGTAACTCTTGTAGTTGATAGAGTATAATAATTCAGTCATTTTAGGATTTTAATAATTAGATAAAACATGTGAATCAATTAAAACTAAGATTGTTCAAGCTTTTAAGATATACTTAAAAGATTTTCTGTTTAAGTTAACCAGATGCAGATTTAACATAATTATGTCATACAAGTTTCAGAACCCAAGTCAATTCGCATTAAAAAATGTATAAATCAATTATGTCATGATTTTTTGTTGACAGGATAATGACCCTCTACTGAGTGGTTCTACGTTCACTGGTAAATTGCTCAGTCTGGAGGGAGGCACCTATGGGGGATTCCCAATCAAGTTCCTGGTGCAAGTGGTAAGCTTCATCTCTAGATAAAACACTAGTAGTTTCTGAATTGCAATAATCCATATATGTCATGGAATGTGATTCAAACTTTGAACATTTATCTTTATTAAACATGAAATTAAAAAACTCATGAATTTTATTTTGTAGACAAGACTGTCCAAAATCCTTTCACTGAAGAAAGATTGGATCAATCAGCTGAAGGATTTAAACACACAAGCAGAAAAAGCTGTGAGTGTTAAAATTCTTTTATTAATGTTGTTATTATTAAATTATCTCCCCTTCTTAGCTATCCAAACACCTACAACTTAAGTTTTATACCCAGAAGCAGAATCCATATTGTAATTTCTTTTTTAATTAAGTTGGAAGCTATATCTGTAGGGCGTGTCAAGCTTGAGTACATTTAGCTCTGTGTTTTATCATCAGAAATCATTCCAGCAGCCCATTACTCCAGACTTTCAGAGAAAGTACGCCACCACGGTCCTGGAACTGGAACAGCTCAACAAACAGCTAGGGGAGTGTCTAAACGTGGTCCAGAGTTACTGCAAGGAGGTAAAATATAGAACATAGAAAATATACAGCTAGGGGAGTATCTAAACGTGGTCCAGAGTTACTGCAAGGAGGTAAAATATACAATATACAGCTAGGAGAGTGTCTGAACGTGGTCCAGAGTTACTGTAAGGAGGTAAAATATAGGTCCCCCATGTAAACAATAAAAGTAAATGGAAGTAAGAGACATGATTAAGCTTTGCTCACCCTCTCATTGTCTTGGAGGATATAGACATGCATTAATGGATGACCAGTTTCTGGTTCAAGTTTTGATTTCTAGTCAATGTTAATCAGTCTAATGTTATTTAATTGGTATTTATAAATGTATTTTTGAATGGAAAAGTCATTTTAATTTTTCACTTTATAGCTAGCCCCAGATATGGGTATGACACCACTAGATGAACCTTCACAAATCAAAACCGGCTGTGATGAAGAAGCTGCGGAGATTGTCAACAGAATAAGTGTAAGACTTAAAGTTTTAAAACTAGTGAATAATGGAAAAGGATATGCACTTTCAAACACATTTAATAAAAATCATTTACATCGTAACATCCATTTATTAAAAAAAAGGAAATAGATACACCATAGTAACTTAGCGTTAGGTCTTTTATATGGTTTTAATTATTTCAAATTTCACTCTTTTTCTTTTAATTTTGCAGGGAATGTTCCACAAGAGAACTTCTAAAAATCAGAGAGTTATGGATCTGATTTCCAGTTTGACATCTCTTATGCTGCAAGTACGGGTAAGTCAATAGTTCTAAATTACAGAGGCATATCAAATCTATAGTTGATATCTTATTACTGATCAAGCTAAATTAAACTTTTGTTGGTCAATTTACACAGATTTAGTGTTTATTTATGTTTAAAATATTTTATTAGTTTTGATGTTTATTTTTGCAGAGTGAATAGAAGAATAATATTTCCATTTACATAAATATTTCATCATTTCAGACATTTTCTGAGCAAGAATTTAACTCCTTTGAATTCAAGTGTTTGCAAGATACCTTAAAAGAAATCAAGGATAAGTTGGATGGAAACAGTATCAAGTAAGTATCTGTCAGTCTGTTAGAGTTATACATTTAAATAAATCAGAGTTAAAGAAAACACTTCTCTTTTCTTCATTTTTGCTCACCCGAACTCAAAAGATTTTCTGATTGAAATTTGTCTGTTGTTTGTCATGTTTTAGCATATAAACTTTTCACAATTACATCTTCTTTAAAACTAAAAGGGGATTCTAATTTGAGTGAAGGGCTACAGTGTGGCAACAAAACAATACTATCATTTGCAGTTCTTAACAAATTTCTCTCTATTTTTAGTGCTTTCCAGAACAATGTGGAGATTCATATAAACCCA